GGGGGGGGGGGGGGGGGGGGGGGGGGGGGGGGTGGGGGGGGATGTCTCCATAGATGAAGGTTCTGGATTACTCAGCACCAGGCATATTAGAGAGAGTGGGTTTGCTGATCTTGTATTGATTAGATTGGGTTTGGCTTTGTGGTTTGAGTGGAACATCAAGCTGAAAGCTGTAGAAAGGACATGAGTAGAAGAGACCTTGGCATAATTTGTTTGGGCCAGACCCTAGCACCACCTTTAACATGACTGTCAGACTATCTTCAGGCTAAGAGAAATGAGAATGTTGTTCAGACTCTGTCCCTGCATGTGTTCATGGAAGCCTTTTCTGTATTTGTTGGCAAATTAAAGATAGCACTGAGATAATATTTTGAGACCTAGTCTTTACTCCTGCAGAGGTGATTAATTTCTCACATGTAAACAGAATTTCACAGTTAGAAGAGACTTCAACTTCTCTTAGCCCAGCTTATAAAATACTTTTACATTTATTATACATTGCCACAATTATTTATTGAGCTCTCACACCATGCTAGATACTAGGAATACAAGAATGAATAGAAATAAGACTATAGTTTCATTTAGTCAGTAAAACTGATGGGGTACCCTTGTGCCAGGCAGTTTCAACTGCTTCAGATACAAAATGGTTACAACCAATCCTGACCTTGGAGTTGCATGTTTACAAGCCTTGCCACTGAGGACAGTTGAGTGTATGAAAGAGGACATCCTGGCCTATCAATAAGAGATGGTGTATATCCAACAGACTTTTTGGTATCCTGGCAGAATCCCACTTCTTGTCCATCAATCTTCCAATTCTAGAATTGATGGGATAGCACTATGGGATAGAGAGCCTTAAGAAGGCAATTAGTCATTGTACGCTGTGGCCAGGCTGTTTAGGAGTGTAAATTGTAAATCCTCTGTAAAACACAAAAGAAAGTTAGGAAGGGAAGAGAGTATTTGGCAGAGATGGGTAGTGTTTAAACTTGAATTTCTCTTGAATGGGTAACTCCCTCATAGGCTTACAGTCACACACCGAAATTACATATTTCACAGAGTAACCTGAATGCTCCCTCTACCACTCCCTTCCCTCAGTCCCATGAGCACAAATGGGCAATTAAATAAAATAACGTATGTATTAGTCCGTTTCTGTTGCTTACAACAAAATACTTGGAAGTGGGTGATTTATAAGAAAACAAAATGTATTGCTTACAGTCCCAGGGGCTAGAAAGTCCAAAGTCCAGGAACACATCTGGTGAAGGCTTTCTTTGGTGGTGACTTCATGATGGCAGGTATCACATTGAGACATGGCGGAGCAGAGAGATAGAATAACCTCCTCATTCACTCTTTTTAAAGCCCTCAGAACTATGCCCCTGACCACCCTTATTAATCCGTTCACTACTGTAAAGTCCCACAATCCAATCACCTCTTCAAGGCTCTACTTTTCAATTACTATAGTAGGATTTCCTGCCCTCTTAACAGCCACAGTGGGGGCTAAGTTTTTAGTACATAAAACTTGGGGGACACAATTCAAGCTTCAGTGAGTTTTGGGGGGACATGATTCAATCCACAACGTAACTCAGGTGGTTTATGAGCGTCAGGAGTAAGGGCACTGTTTAGCTTGCAAAGCTGCATGGCTCCAGAGTAGGGAGGAGTGGGAGTGCAGAACTGATGGCCCCTAATCCCGCTCTTTAATGGCAGGAGTGAGATGACCTCGATCTTGCGAAGCCCTCAGGCTCTGCAGCTCACTCTAGCCCTGATCAAGCCTGATGCAGTTGCTCACCCACTGATTCTGGAGGTAAGAATGAATCCTAAGCCTCTACTGTATGTCCTGGGCACTGCTGCTGTTTCAGGTGCTGTAAGGTCCACTTGTGGCAACTGACAACACAGTTCTGTCCTAGATGTTGTCGAGGCAAAGCTAGGAGCCATGGACTTTGACTCTAAAGAGACTAAAAGTCTGTAGGACACTTGGGGCAGAGCTAACATGTAAGAAAGTACCCAATGTATAAAAAGAACCAAATCTCAAGATAATGTATATGTGTTAATGTCCTATTGCTACATGAGGAAGTACCATAAAGTTAACAGCTTAAAACAATACTCATTTATTATCTCACAATTCTATAGTCTAGAGGTCCAGTAGGCTTGGCTGGATTATCTCCTTATAGTCTCACAAGGCCAAAGTCACGGTATGGGCTGGCTGCACCCTTATCTGGAGGGTCTGGGGGAGAATCCACTTCCAGGCTCATTCAGGTTCCTGTGATTATAGAAGTGAGGTCCCCATTTCCTTGCTGGCATTTAGACAGGAACTGCTGTCAGCTTATAGAGACCACTCACATTTCTTATCACATGGCCCACTCCATCTTCAAGACAGCAACAGTGCATCAAATCCTCCTCATGCTTTGAATATCTGAGTTCTCTCCTTCAGCCCCCAACCAGAGAAAACTCTTCTTTTAAAGGACTCGTGACTAATTAGGCCCACCTGGATAATCTCCCTGTTGATTAAAGCAAAGTCAACTGATTAGTAACCTTAATTACATCTGCAAAATCCTTTTTGTTATATAATGTAACATAATCATATTGTATTATATTCACAGTCCTGGGGATTGGGGTGGGAAATCTTGGTGGGCATAGGGTCACTTTAGGATTCTGCCTACCACAGTTTGATAAGTACTAACTGAGCAGCACTGCTGAGTAAGCCCACTGTGGTGCAAAGGGAGACCAAAGCAGTCAGCAATGATGACCTGGAAGTGGTGGGACTTGGCCAGGCCTCAAAGGAAGGGTGGACTTTGGTTAGTGCCAGGAGGAAGATAGGTGTTCCACAAAGGAAGGAGTGCGTATGATGGGTCTGAGGGTCAAGGCAGCCTGGGTTGGTGGGATAAAGAATTGGAAATGGTAGAGGGCAAGGAAAGTACAGCTTTGAGCACTGGGCTAAAGTGGTTATACTTCATTCCATAAAGAATAGGGACTACCCAAAACCTCTGACCAGAGTGTGACATGTAAATTTAAGAGTTTTTTTTTTTTTCCTTTTTGTCTTTTTTCTTGTCCGGCAACGGATCGCAACCCTCAGTGTCGCGCCCGTACCGGACCGGAACCGGCAACGGGATCGGAACCCTTGGCGTTGCGCCCACACCTCGCTCAGCCAGTGAGCGGGAACCGGTCTGTATGTGGGATCCGAACCCTTGGCGGGAGCACCACCGCACTCTCAAGCGGCGCACTGTAGCAGTGCACCACCGGGCCGGCCCCTAAATTTAAGAGTTTTTAATCTGTCAAGTGTGATAGTTTGAAGAGAGTGAGAGAAACTCAAGTCAGGACCATTAACAATCTCATGGTTTTCCGGGTGGTAGGTTCTGTGGGCTAGATTGAGCTTGAGGGGGTGGAGGTATGGAAGGGCAGAGACAGCACTCTTCCTGTCCCCCTCCACCAGCAGCTCACACTCTGGCTTGTGACTGAAGGTCTTAGCCTCACACTACCTTCTTTTTCTTCTGACACACCATTCAGACAGACCCTCAAGTCCTGAGCTCCAAGGGGTCCTCATGATTTCTTTTGGTCAGCCCGGTTCTCCTGACTGATTTGTATCTTTGGGGTGGTGTTTATCCAGGCTGTTCATCAGCAGATTCTGAGCAACAAGTTCCTTATTGTACGAATGAGAGAACTACTGTGGAGAAAGGAAGATTGCCAGAGGTTTTACCAAGAGCATGAAGGTAGGACCATTAGTCCTCTGAATGGACAGCTTCTCAATCCCAAGAGGCCTATAAGAGAGATTTTACTTGGAACATACAATAACAGGCTCTCTCTGACCTACCTTGTAAAATTGTATCCAGTCTTCTAAAATCTTGGTTTATTTATGAACTTTTCATGATTATCAGTCTTTTTTTTTTCCCGAGGAGCGTTCTACCTCCTTGTCCCAACCAGAAACTTGATTTTATGTCCTAATAACAACATCAGTAGCTAATATTTAGTGAATGTTTACTTTGTCAGACATTTTCCTCATGCTCATTATTTCATTTAATCTCCCAACAACCCTAAAAGGTAGGTATTGTTATATACCCAGTACACAGATTAGGTAACTGTGTTAGGGAGGTTAATGACTTACCCAAAACTACATAGATTGTAAGTAGCAGATCTGAATTCAGACACAGGTATGTGAGACTCTAAGGTCCTTGTTCTTTTTTCTAAAACAAGTTTTTATTATTCCAGATAAGGAGGTAGATTTACAAAAAGTTCTCATGGCACCAGTGTTTTGATGAAGGTACTCTCTCTTTGCAGGACGTTTTTTCTATCAGCGGCTGGTGGAGTTCATGGCCAGGTACTTCTAATTTTTGTTCTAGCATCTTTATCCATTGAGGCTTATCTCCCCTTCCCCCTAAATGGGTTTGTTAATTGCATTTGCCACTCTTTAAAGTTGTAATGAGTGTGAAGTCTGAAGAAGCATGGACTTAGGGCTCTGACTGTGCCAACACTCACCTGTTTGGCACCTGTCCCATGGTGGGCACTGGACCCAGGGCTGTCGAAGAGTATTGTTGAGTGCTGCCTAGCAACTGTTGATCTCTGTGGCCTTTCTTGTACATCGGCAGTGGCTCTGCATCAATTTCTATTTTAAGCAGCATTGGTATTCATCTAGAAAGGCAAGGAAATGTCCAGGATGTACAGTGTGCCTTTATTTACAGCATGCCCTCCCAGACTAGATGGCCAGATTCTACCTGTGCTCCTTTTGTTCACAGTGGGCCAATCCGAGCCTACATCCTTGCCCACAAGGATGCCATCCAGCTCTGGAGGACACTGATGGGACCTACCAGAGTGTTTCGAGCACGCCACATGGCCCCAGGTTCAATTCGTGGGAGTTTTGGCCTCACTGATACCCGCAACACCACCCATGGCTCAGGTGAGTCTGCCTCCTCTTTTTGCATCCACAGCAATAAATAATGGGATATGTTTTGGGCTGGTGGGCAGGCTATATGGTAGGGTTGACAGCTGGATCCGTCCAACAAGCTTTCTTCCCATTTGTGTTTCTGGCCCTTTGTAGCCATCTTGGCAGATATGGCCTGTGGACTTTTTTTACGTGCCCAAGACTGAGGGAAAAGAAGAGGCTCAGGTTTCTGAGGCTGATTATGACTGCCTCTTGCCTCCACCATGCACTCCCTGTGAGAACCCTTCTCTATCTTATCTCCCTTTACAGACTCTGTGGTTTCAGCTAGCAGAGAGATTGCAGCCTTCTTCCCTGACTTCAGTGAAAAGCGCTGGTATGAGGAGGAGGAGCCCCAGTTGCGCTGTGGCCCTGTGCACTATAGTCCAGAGGGAGGCATCCACTGCGCAGCTGGAACAAGAGGCCCAGGACCAGCCTGATGCAGGCCTGTCAGTCCAGCCTTTTCTCCTAGACTTCTGGTCCAAAGCATTCTCCTAGGACCAGGGCTCATGCTGCTATCTCTGGTGGGCACCACCATCTGCCAGAGGGTCTAGCTCATCACTGTAAATCCTCCAGAATCTAGCTGTCTACCTCTTCTCCAGAATATTCATGGGTGGTTCAGAAGAATGATAACTCATCTTTTTGCTGAGAACTATTCATCCTTCTTCAAAGAGGAGCTTGCCTAATTAACTTGCCTGAAAAATGCAGTGACTGTATAAGCAACATTTGACCTATCTTCCTCAATAAAAGTCAGTGTTCTACCAAATCCTCAAGGATGGGAGCACTACTCTGGGAGCTTTTTCCCTATCCTTAATTGGTGTAATTAAACCTGCCCTGAAGCCAGGTTTCTGTTGTGTGCTAAATGAAGAGAATATTGTGTAGGAATCACCCAGTAGGCTGACACACACAAAGTGTGCAGCTTATGTAGTGTGTAAAGATACCCAGCAATAGAGCTGAGGGTGAACTCAAGCCATGCTGTGCCCTCTGGCACAGGGCTGTGTCCTGGAGGAAGAGGTACCTTTTATCTGAACCAAGGTATATCTGCCCAGTGGAGACATATTTTTATGATTCACTTATTTCTGATTTGCACAAGACACTAAAAGTAGCCATGTCTCTATCATAGCTGAGTATTACAGTTATCTACTGCTGCATTACAAATCACCTCAAAATTTAGTGACTTAAAATAGTAATGATTTATCCTTTGTGTCTGTGGGTTGGCTGCATGGTTGACTGTTGGTTTCACCCAGACTTACTTGTGCCTGCATTCAGCTGGTAGATCCAATATGGTGTTTCATCCTGAGCTTCACAGCACAGTTGTTTCAGTATTCCAAGAGGGCAGGCCCCACACTCAAGCTTATGAAGCTTCTGCTTGTGTCACATTTGCTAATATCTCGTTGTCCAAAACAAGTCATATGGCTAAGCCCACAGTCCATGTATGAGATGACTACATAAGAGCATGGATATGGGGAGGTATGGGTCATTGGGAGCCAGTAGAATGACAATCTGACACACTGGGACTTGTGAGAAACCTTTAAAGAATGTTAAGGAAGGTTACCTTGTATGGAGGCTGATCAGCTAAAGATAGTGCATTTATACTGTGTACTACCTTTTCGTTTAGAGCAAAAGGCCTAGGATTCTTAGAGAATCTTCTTCCATCTGACTCTATAAATGTATCTGCACATTCACCCATTTGCTCCTGTATTCCTGTTACAACATAGGAAGAATCCTGCTGCTATCAAGCTAGTCCTTCCAGGTGTGCTCTGAATCCCATCTCCTTGCTCTTTGGGTTATCTTATCTCTACTGCACCTTTTTTTATCTTTCTCCACTGAGTCCTTCCCCTTTGAATCAAACATGTTTTGGTGTCTCCCAGCTTTCAAAATCTTTTTAACCTCATTTTCCCCTTTAGCTACCTCTTGTCTCTTCATCTCTGTACAGCCAAGCCCATATCAATTGTCCACACTGAAAGTCTCATCCCCATTTTCTCAGCAGCCCTTTCTAGTGTGACTTGCACACCTCCCACTCCAGGGGAGCTACTGTTTCTATCACGATCTCCATGCTGCCACATTTAGGGGATTCTTTTCAAGCTTCATCATTCTGACTTCTCCACAGCATTCACTATTGCTTCATTTTTCAGAAACACTCTGTTCTCTTGACTTTCCTGATCCCCACACCATTGGATTCGTTCTTCTCTGGCTATTTCTTCATCTCCTTTGTTGGCTTATGCAAATATTTGTTTTTGTAAATTCTCTTTTCAAGGCATTCTGAAAAAAACAGAAAGATGATTAAGACCTGATTTGGTCCTCAAGTTGCTAATTATGAAGTTGGGTAGTCAGCCAACTGTAGTACATGGCAGAGATGGGAAAGTGCCATAACCGAGGTACAAAGTCCTGTGGGAGAACAGAGGAGAGAAGTTTTTACTTTGGCCAAGTGAAGATGTGAGGGTGATAGATGGGGGAGTGGGGGGAGACTTCTACAAAAGATGTAGCTGGCATTGGAACTAAGCCTCAAGGTCAAATAGGGTACTGAAGGGCTAGGAAGCTTGGTTATTTTCAGATCTATTAATGGGTCAATTTGGTCTGTGTGTGATCCAAGAAGCCTGTGACACATCTTTTGTCAGATCCTGACTTTTCTTTCTCAGTACATGTATGTCCCTCTCTTTTTGGTGGCCCTAAAACCTTGGAATTAAAAATTGCCTTCATCTACTACCTTTGGTAATAGTAGACCAGGGAATTTGGACCCCCCTGCACATAGAGAATAACTAGAAAAGCTGTACAAAATATAAAAAGCATTTATTTGGAAGTATTAGGTGGCAGTGAAGAGTTATAGGACCAAAATCCAGTACAGAAGTGAAGTAATAGAAATGAACCTGAGACTTGGAATTAAGGCCATCTGCCAATTCTGGAAGAGGCAGCTGAGAAGCTGAGCAGAACTTCAACAATCTCATTGTGTTAGGGAATCAGTTTCATGGATACTGGCAGAAGACAAACGATTCCTAGGGCAGAGACTACTACTCAGGGCACAGCTGGTGGAATATTCGCCTTGGTCCCTCTTGCCCTGCAAGTCCCACAGGAGCAGCACAGGCAGGCCCAGGTTGGTACTGCACATATAGTAGGTTTGCATCACGGCTAAGAAACCACGATCTTAGATATTCTGTCTTCTAAGGCTATTTGCTGTACAAAAGTCCTTAAGATAATCTGGAACAAAAGCTGTCAATGCCTCTGCACACAAGACACACAGAAACATGAGAGACCCAATGAGAATTGTCTCCCAATAAAATTGTCTCTCACTTAATGGAGCCAGGTTTCTGTAGAGAGGGGAGTTTAAATATAGAAAGGGAGAAAACTAGAATAAACCTGGTGATGTTGGGCTGGAATTGGAGGTATTGGTGTGAACTAATGGTTTGCAATATGAGGGGTCTTCAAAAAGTTCATGGAAAGATTTTAAATATGTTTTTGTATGTATGTAGGTACATATATTCCCTGGCTCTGACCTGACAGAAGTGACACTCTACTATAATGAGCACCTAGCACCCAGATCTTGGTTTCTAAATCTATTGAAAGGAACCAGTGTTCTTTGGAGAAGTGGCTGATTCCATGGTTGGTGCAGGGAAATTACAAGATGAGCCTGGAATATCATCTTGTGCCAGAAAGGAAGTGCTCGAAGAGTGAGGGAGATGTGTCTCTCTAACAAAAACTTGACTCTCATTATCCTCAGTGTATGTATTCATTTGATCAAACCCACTATAGGTAATCAACCAATCTCCCATCACTGCCCCCTCCTCATGTGGACACCTTTCTCACCTCACTCAGGTTTTAACACCCAACTCCAGGTTGTCTCGTCACTCTCACCTGCACCCAGTCTTCATTCTCTTCAGTCTCTGACACCCTAGGTCAAGTTGCCACTGCTCCCCTCATGGATGCCACCTTCGCCATCCCTCAACTCTGCCTCTCCCTGCCATGTGGATTCCTTCTTCATGCATGGACTCTAACACCCCACCCCAAGCTGCCATGGCCGTTCAAGCAGCTTTATTCATAAAAACCAAAAACTGAAAACAACTCAAATGTCCATCAAAAGAATAAGTAAACAAACTATGGTATATTCATACAATGGAATTCTATTTAACAATAGAGAAGTATGAACTATTTAGATCTCAAAATGGTGCTTAGTGAAAGAAGCTAGACACAAAGGAATGCATAATGTTTGGTTCCATTTAAATGATGTTCAAAAACAGGCACAGCCAATCTATGGTGATATAGATCAAAATAATGACTGCTTTATTGCGGGGCAGGGGGGATGGGGAAGGGAGTAGGACACAGGGGAACTTTGTTGGATGACGAAAATGTTCTTTATCCTGATCTGGGTAATGGTTGACTGTATGTGTGCATTTGTCAAAAGTCATCCAGCTGTACATTTAAGATTTGTGGTTTTGTGTTAAAATTAAAAAAAAAAAATTTTCTCTATGGCTATAACACTACCAACAACAAACCTACTAAGTAAAGTTCAAGATTCCTTTGCAGTTCTTTTTTGTCATTAGAATAGATCCCACTGAGGGTGCATAGTCAGAGTATTATATTCAAATCTTATATAGAATAATTTATTTTTCTCTTCTTTGGGATTATTTCAATATTTAATTCATTTATTTCTGTTTTTAAATTCAGATTTTTATCAACTAAATTTTTTAAGTTGATTTAACTTCATTTATTTTGAATATGTAAAACATTAACATGATTCAATGTTTGAAACTATAGGAAAAGGGTGCTCGCTTCAGCAGCACATATTCTAAAACCAGAATGATACAGGAAAAGGAATACTAGAAGTCCCATTCACTTCCCCTTTTCACTTACACCCTGCAACACCCACTCCCTAAAGAAAACCCATTGTATTAGCTTCTGGCTTATTCTCTTATATTTCTTTTTGCAAAAGTGTGTGTGTGTGTGTTTCCCCTTCCTCCTCACACATAAGGCAACACACTTCATATACTCTTTTGTACTTTGTTTTTTTCTTTAACCCCAAGCTATAATATAGAAATCACTCCATATAAGTTTATAAAGATCTTCTTTCTTTTTTTTTACATCTACATAATACTCCATCCTGTGACCATACCATCATCTATTCAATAACAGGAATTTAAATAGTCTCCAAGAAACTTTTTTATTGAAACATAATTGATTATACATATATGTGGGGTACAGAGTTGTGCTTGTGTACAGTATGTGATCAAATCAGGATAATTAGCATATTTATCATTATAAAATGTAATAATTCTTCATGTCCATTAACCAATGGTCTCCAAAAGTTTGCTATTACAATTAATGCCACACTGAACAATCTTGTGCATATGTTGCTTTTTCCCCCTTTTGTTAGCTGTGTGTATTAGTTACCTATTGCTATAATATTGCTGTGTAACAAACTACTCCAAAATTTAGAGACTTAAAACAATCATCTTTTCTCACAGGTTTTCAGATGAAGACTGTGGCAGAAGGAGGGAGGGGAAAGAGCTCTGTGAGCTCGGGTGTGAAGTAATAAAGGGGGTAGCGGCCAGAGGAAAAGAGGGAAGGAAACACCAAGTCCTGGCAACTATGTCTTTAATAGATCTGTCTACTTCTCTCCACATCCACTGCTCCATTCCAGTCCAAGCTACCATCATCTCTTGCTGAGTTACAAGTCTCCCAACTTTTCTTTTCTACTCTTACCATGCCGCTCCCCATCCCCCCACCCCCAATTCATTTTTCACACAACAGCCAAAGTGTTCTTTTTCTTAAATGTCCAACTCTTTAGGTCATGCCCTGTATTTCACTGTACTTGGAATAAAAACCAAAATTCCCCACATCACTTCCTCAGTGTCCTCTTACACCACTCAATGAATCCTAGTGCTCAAGCTCCCATGAACATTCTCTCCACCTCAAGGTCTTTACCCATGCTGTCCCTCATCTTTCTGCTTGGCTCATTCCTGTTTGTCATTTAGGTCCCACCTTAAATGCACTTTCCATAAGAAAGCCTTCCCACATCCCATAGTCCAGTTAGATTCTCCCAGTTCTTCACTCTATCATACAATGTACTGCTTTTCATAACATGTACTACTATTGTTATTAAGATTAGCAGTATTCTTTGTTTAAAATCTGGCTTTCTCCCTAGAGTACAAATTTCATTAGAGCAAAGTGTTTTCTTCATGCCTCTATCACTGTTGTCCAGCACAGTTCCAGGTATACATATTGTTGCTTTGTAAATAGTAATGAACAGTCCATACTCTAGTCTTTGACATCACTCAGAATTCCTCCATCTCTAAATTCCTTAAATCTTACCTTTAAATCAGTCTCCTTCCACATACCTCTCTTGTGTATCTCATGTCTTCCTAAACTACTCACTTCTTCCACTCTCTTAGGTATATAACTATTTCACATATTCTCTCCTCTCTTCAAACTTCCAACACTTCCCCCTCCTTCCTCACTCTCCGGTTGCTTTGGTTTGAATGTCCATCCCCTCTGAAACTCATGTTGAAATTTAATCCCCAATGTAACAGTATTAGGAGGTGGGGCCTTTAAGAAGTGATTGGATCATGAGGGTTCTGCCCTCATAAATGGATTAATGAGTTAACGGGTTATCACAAGAGTGCGTTAGTCATCACAAGTGGGTCCAGTTTGGTGTGCTCTTGCCCTCTCATTGTGTGATGCCCTCCACCATGTTATGATGCAGTAAGGCCCTAACCAGATGCAGCTCCCCAACCAGGAACTTCCCAGCATCCATACAAAATCAGTTGTATTCCTACAGACTAGCAATAAACAATCAGAAATTGAAATTAACAAAGCAATATAATTTACGATAGTGTTAAAAATATAGTATACTTAAGGATAAATCTGCCAAAAGGTGTGCAAGATTGATACACAGAAAACTATAAAATATTTGCTGAGTGGAATTAAAGAAGACCTAGATAAATGGGGATATATACCATGTTACGGATCAGAAGACTCAATATTGTTAACAGATTGAACACAATCGTAGTCAAGATCCAAGCAAGTTTTTGTTGCTGAAATTGACAAACTGATTCTGAAATTTATATACACAAAATGAGTTGATTTAATTCCTCACGGAATCCCCTGGGTTCAGATGTACTCTTGCTACTCCAGGGAGCAGCAATGTCAGCAACTGATCATAATCAGGGTTAATTATGTACATAAGTATGATAGCTCCTTGCTTCTCCTGCCAGTCCACCATCACGGGAAACCCAAAATGACCAAGTTAGTCACCACACTCGTTTAGTGGTCATTTCCTGCGCTCTTTGGCACAAGCATCTCCCCCACTCCCCACCCTACCCCCAGTAACAAGAAATTCTAAGCCAGAGGGCCTAACTTTCTAGGCACAGGGAGCACAAATTCTTGCCACGTACTATTTCTGCAATGGCTTATCATGGAGGTTTCTAGCTTGGAAACCTTCAATTGCCCACCTTAGATCTTCACATAAGAGGTCTGGAGATGAGTCTGATATAGCAGATACCTAAATTTTGTTTGTACCAGAATTAGTCCGATGTTAGGATACCAAAGGACTTTGAAGGACCAGGCTGCTAGAGGGCAAGGAATTGAACAGAGTAACCCCTCAGACCCAAACTCCTAATGTTTCCAGAATTCCAGGCTGAATCCAAGCACCATCACATATTAGCTGTATGAACATGGGTAAGTTACCTACATTTCTGTTCAATTTCCTTATCTACAAGATGAGCACACTACTGTTACCAACATCATATATTTGTGTTTTTTTCCTTGTCTCTCTTCTCTACTTGGGAACAGACCTAATGATGGGAGAGACAATCCACCTTGGGTCCTAAGCATCCCTGCATGCTTAGTTTTGGTAATGAGGATGTGATGTTGTGATAAAGACATGGCTTTCTGGAAGAAGGACAAAGGATCTCACAGGCCACTTTCAGGGATATTGTTAGATTCACAGGGATCTGTTAGCAGATGTTCTCACCCAGTGGGGCCCCACTTTCCTACCTGTTGATAAAAGTTTACAGGCTGAGTGGTGAGAGTAGGATTGAAACAAGCCCCTGGATGTGGCCTTGGTTATTGTTCACACTCTTCCAGGTGAAGACAAAAGAATGTAATAAAAATGGGGCAGGAAGCCTTGCATCCTAGCCAAAAAGTAATCCTGAGCCAAGGAGCTCCCAAAGCTGAGAAAAGTCAGTAATGAAGATATAGCTTTCTGTGGAGCAAAAATAGTATATATTCAAAAGAACCCAAGTGCTCACAGGATGCCAAGAGGCATATGAGGAGGGAGGCAGTACCAACTCTGGCGCGAAAGACCAAGGAAGGAAAAAAATCTTCCCTACCATTCCCTATGACACCCTGCCCTCTCCAATCTTCTGAATGAGGATTAGCATGATCTCCTGGTGGCTGTGGCTTTAGCCCCTGATGTGCATAAATGAAACTCCTTGGTCTGTGTTCCTGCAGCAGAAAAAATGTGCCCAAATTCAATTGATGGGTTTGCAGTGCAAAAGGAGCTGACATGTAGGGTTTTTGAGCCAATTTAGTATATCACTGCGGTTCCTAATGCTTACTGTGTAATTGACAAGGATATTTTACATGCCTATACTGAGAACACTCATGTATTAAAGGGGATTCTCCCATTCAGGGACTGTCACATAGAAGTGACCGCAGTTCCCTTCTATCTGGTTCAACAGAAACAACAGAGAATCTAGGAGAAGAGGAAATCATAGCTTTAAAGACTTAATGGCTGTCGGAGAACTCAGAGTGGACAAGGTCGGGAGGCAGAAAGGAATGAGCCTTGTACTGAGAGCTGGGCTTCAAGGACTGATTCATCTTTCAAAGATAACTTTGATGGTGGGGAAAAAAAATCATAATATGTAGATACTTACATATTGTGCAATTACTATCTGCCAGCCATGGAACTAGATTCCATACGACCATTATTTCCTACAAGAGAATAACTTCCAAGGTTTAACAATGATTATTTATATCCAGATGAATGGACAAAAAAAGATGGCTAGATGTATTTGTTTTAACTGAAATCAAGTAAGTTCATTTTCTATTTCTGCATTCTTGTATGTTTTACTTAAAATTACATAAAACACTTATGATTAAAATATACCAAATTAACTTCCGGTGTAGTCATGGGGGCTAATGCTACTACCAACCTGTTACAGCTGCTGCTGCTAGAACTTGTGGACAAATGTATAGGATCAAGAATTTACACTGTGATGAAGAGTGATAAGGAAATTGTTGATACACTTCTAGGATTTGATGACTTTGTCAATATGGTGCTGGAAGATGTTAAAGAGTTTGAAATCACACCAGAAGGAAGAAGGACTACTAAATTAGATCAGATTCTGATAAATGGAAATAATATAACAATGCTGGTTCCTGGAGAAGGAACTGAAGTATGAATGGGTTTCCTTGACTTATGTTAGATTCTGTTTTGTCTTATAATGGCAACAAAATATAATTTTTTTTACCTTCTAATGTTTTAGATCCTATAAAGCTAAGTTTCCCATTAAAGGGAAATGCTTTGAAAATGTATGCCCATTTTTATAAGTTAATCATGATTATCTTGGAAAAGGAAGAAAGGAATTCTTTTCCGAAGACCAAAATAAAGGTGTTTTTGGTTAAATAAAATAAAATACACCAAATTAATTTTTTAAATCTTCAATATAGACTCAGCTTGAGAACAAGAGGTGACATAAAAAATCCAGAAAATGTTGGATATTTCAAAAGACAGATACTTCTTCCCAACATCTATTAGAACATTTAGAAGTTTTCTTACTTGCCAGCCCCCCACCACATAAAATCCTCCCCCATGTAATTGGAATCTCCAAGTTCAAACTCTCATCTAACCATCTCCCTCCCATGAACTCATCATTCCACAAACTCTCCTTCAGGTTTACTCTTCTTGGTCATAAATGGCTCTGGGGAACCCAGAAGCTACCCAGGACTCACAAGTTCTGGATTCTAAGGTTCTAAGAGCCCATGATCCCTTTAAGATTCATAATAAATCCTCATCCCTCCCCTCTCCTCTTCCCTTCCTGGAGAGAGGCTTACTCTAGGGCCTAACACCTGAATCACAGAAGCCAGTTGTGGGGGCCTTGATTCCCACCCCTTTCCCTAAGGCCTGGAAAGAGGTGTCCCTGAGGTCAAGGTATAAAGGGCCCCCTCAAGAGGGGAAAGAAGGGGCAACAAGGCAGGGGAGAGGAGGGAATGACAATGGAGAGGAAACAGCTCCAGAAAACCAGGACCCCTGGGATTGAATCAAGACAGCACTCCCACAAAGCCTCATGGGAAAGTGGCCTCTAAAGGCAGACCTCCTAAGATGCTACCCTGCAGGCACCACTCAATAATAAAGGAAAATTTGGGATACAAAGAGAGAAGTCTGTACTGAAGAACAAGTCTGAGGGACAAAGGAGCATTCCCTCGTGTGCACTGAGAGAGAAGTCTGCATTGAGGGATAAAGCTCAAAAAAAGGGGCGAGGCCTTTGTAGGGCTAAATAAAACCACCAAGAAATGGGCAGAGCCAGAGACATTTAGGGGTGGGCCTGAAGGATGAGGTCAGCAGGGAAACAGGGACTACTTTGATCTCAGTTGTACTTATTTGGCCTTGCAGCCATTCAAATATGAGACCCCTTATTCTTCAGAAATAAGTCATCAGTCCTTACCCCCAAAGATTCAGCTATTCCTTCCTCCATCCCTCCTCCTTCCACAACCCTTTATTCTGAAGATCTTACAACATCTCAAGCTTGCAGAGATGGAGCCGTTACAGACCTGATTTCAATCACTTTTCCAGAAGACACAAGAAAGAGGGACTCCTGCACCCAAAGTTATCTGCCCTGGCCTGGACAGAGGTCCTCTCTGCATCTCTTCCTGTGACTGCCTGGACTGGTGTCTCTACAGTGTCTATTGTGGATTTAATACAAAATAAACATTTTTTTCTTCCCCTCATAATTAAAGCAGATATAAGATTGTTAATTTCTCCATTTTTGTTTTCCAGTGGGAGAAGCAGCTTTGAGATCACATGGAATAATGGTGTCCCCCTCCTTCCCTGCTCAGCAACCCCAAAGAAAACACAAACACACACTTCCCTCTGTGGCTTTTAGCTAAGGCAGCATAATGGTGGTAGACCAGGCAGTAGAGCCTGATCTGAAATGTGGTGGGAGAACCTACATTCCAGGTACTCCTAGCCTTTACCTCCAACCAGGCTAACCTTGACAATTCCCTGGAGAACAACCACTTCCAGTGAGAGAGAGCAGACATCGGCTTCTGGACCAGCTACTCTTTTTCTCTCTCCTCCTTCTTCCTCTCCAGCATCAAAACCAAGCCAAGTTTTGGGGGGTTATACAGTCATCCTTCTCCTTCCTCTCTTGTCAAATAAAGACACTGGGGCTTGAGTGGACAGCTCTCCAAGGTACACTTATTGACATACATGTCAGGGGTAGAGCCAGCCCAGGGCCAAGAAGGGAATGAGGCAAACTGTCAGGAATCTGGGCAATCTGGGCCCTGGGAATGCAAAACAGGTGTCTAAAAGGGCCTTAGAACTATTATTGGAGGACTGATGTAAGAGTGTGGCTAAGACTGGGCACTGAGATTAGAGGATTTAGGAAAGGCTGTGTTTAAAAACACTTAAACCTGGTGTTAGAAGGCTGATAATGGGGCATTGCTAGTAATCTTAGCCCTGTCATTGGAGGGCCCAGGTAGCATGGTTATGAGATTTAAGTCCTGAGACTGAAGAACTTTTGGAGTATAGTTTAAGGGACCTGGATATGGGATTGGAGAGTTAGAAAGGGGACAGGTTAAAAAAAGTCCCTCAGATTGTAGGGCTAGAGACTGAACCCTGAGCAATACCTGAAGGTGGGATAGAAGAGGATGCAGCAAAGGCTAAAGAGGTACCAAAAAAAAAAAAAAAAGGAGAGTGTCACAGAAGCTAATGAGGGCCCAGTTGCAGAAGGAAGTAGTCAAATGCAAAGACGACTCCTCCAAGAGGACCATCACTTGGCATCTCTGTTCCCAGAAGCTAGACCTGTGCCATCTTCACAGGCACAGGGAGCGTAAGGGGTCAGAAGACTATCTCTGAAGGCCTCTCATAACTAGAGTGGGGTGGTGGTGTATGATGGATAGATCTGACACCCAGTTTCACTTAGCTGGAGTGTCACCTCCAGCTAGCTCCTTACCCTCACTCCCTGTATACAAGGCTCCTCCCCTGACTGACCATGTCCCCTGACATGTGATAAAGAATGATGTCCACCTAAATCTTTGCTCACACTACCTCATAAACAAGGCTTCTTCCCTGGGTGTGTCCCCTGGCATGGCTGATGCTTGACTTGCTAAAATCACATGCTCACTCCTTATACACCTAAGGCTTTTCCCTGAGTGTGTCCTCTGGTGTCTGATGAGTGCTGACTTACTGCTAAAGCCTCGCCCACACTCCCTGCATGCATAAGGCTTCTCCCCAGAGTGTATCCTTTGATGTACACTGAGAGTAGACCTGTGGCTAAAGTCTCGCCCACACTCGATGCATGCATAAGGCTTCTCCCCTGAGTGTGTTCTCTGATGTGAGTTGAGGGAAGACTTCTGGCTAAATCTTTGCCCACACTCCCCACATGCATAAGGCTTCTCCCCTGAGTGTGTTCTCTGATGTGAGTTGAGGGAAGATTTCTGGCTAAATCTTTGCCCACACTCCCCACATGCATAAGGCTTCTCCCCTGAGTGTGTTCTCTGATGTGAGCTGAGGGAAGACTTCTGGCGAAACCTTTGCCCACACTCCCCACACGCATAAGGCTTCTCCCCTGAGTGTGTTCTCTGATGTGAGTTGAGGGAAGATTTCAGGCTAAATCTTTGCCCACACTCCCCACATGCATAAGGCTTCTCCCCTGAGTGTGTTCTCTGATGTGAGTTGAGGGAAGATTTCAGGCTAAATCTTTGCCCACACTCCCCACATGCATAAGGCTTCTCCCCTGAGTGTGTTCTCTGATGTGAGCTGAGGGAAAACTTCTGGCTAAATCTTTGCCCACACTCCCCACACACAAAGGGCTTCTCCCCTGAGTGTGTTCTCTGATGTGAGTTGAGGGAAGACTTCTGGCTAAATCTTTGCCCACACTCCCCACACGCATAAGGCTTCTCCCCTGAGTGTATCTTCTGGTGTCTGAGGAGGGCTGATTTATCACTAAAGCTTCGTCCACACTCCCTGCAAACAAAAGGCTTCTCACCTGAATGTATCCTCTGGTGTGTGATGAGGTGTGATCTCACCCTAAAGCCTCGCCCACAGGTCCTGCACACATAAGGCTTATCCCCTGTGTGAATCCTCTGGTGCATGATGAGGTCTGACTTTTCACTAACTCCTCGCCCACACACCGTGCACATAAACGGCTTCTCCCTTGTGTGTGTCCTCTGGTGTCTGATGAGGTGTGACTTGCGGCTAAAGCCTCGCCCACACTCCCTGCACACATAAGGCTTCTCTCCTGAGTGTATACTCTGGTGGTTGTGGAGGGTTGACTTATCTATGAAGCCTCGCCCACACTCCCCACAGATATAAGGCTTTTCCCCTGTGTGTGTTCTCTGATGTCTGATGAGATGTGACTTCCTGCTAAAGCCTCGCCCACACTCCCTGCACACAGATTTTCCCCCTGTGACTGCCTTGTGTCTGAACAGGTTTGACTTCTGGCTAAAATCTAGTCCATATTCTCCAAATCTGACTGCTCCAAATCCTGAGATTTCTACCCTCTCAGGAACTTTGTCTGCTTCCTCAGAGCTTTCCTTCTGGGCTGGACTGAGTTGTATCTCCAATATTCTGCTTCCTCCCTGAGAGCTTACTGGTGGTCCCTGGAGTGGGCTAGAGAAAACCACTGAAGTCCCCCTCTCATGTATACTCCAAAACAAGGGTTTAGCACCTCTTTCTATTCCTCGATCTTCTGCCTCAGCACCCAAGTGGTTTTTATCAGAACGTTGTTGCTGATAATGATCATCTGGGCAGGGATCCTCTGGATGGAGTTGACTTCCTGCACGTAAACCTGGAATAGGATAGCTGTGGAGCTCATCTTGGTTGAGGAATTGCTGACTGCCAAAGGCTGGAGGGCAGGAGGGCCAGGGATGGACTTCTGGCACTGATTCTGCTGAAGAGAAAGTTTTCAGTCAGAGTAGTCACAGGAAAAGCTGACTGGGCTCTTTTTCCTTGTCTTATGGTAAGACCTAGCCCATTAATCATTCACAATGATTAATGTCTCTTGCCCCAAGATGTGCTTTACAGGACCTATATTTCCATTCAACTTCTTTTAACTTCTTATTTGGAAATAATTTCAAATGTACAGAAAAGTTGGAAGAAAAAGAACAATACAAAGAACATCTGGGTAACCTTCACCCAGATTACCTATTGTTAAGATTTGTATATTATACATGTATGTATGCATGTACCCCAGATTACCTATTGTTAAGATTTGTATATTATACATGTATGTATGCATGTACATGTATATTTTTTTCTCTGAAACACTTGAGAGTAAATTGCATATATCATGGGCCTTTAACCCTAAATACTTCAGTGTATATCTCCTAAAAGTAGGGATATTCTCCTTCATAACCACAGTAGATTTATCACCTTCAGTAAATTTAACATTACATAATACTTTTATCTAACTACCTACCATATATATTCCAATTTTGTCAACTGATCCAATAATGTTCCTTATAGCATTTTCCCTCCAGAACAGGATCCAGTCAAGGATTAGGTTTTATAATTAGTTGTCATGTTTCTTGAGTCTCCTCTAGTCTCTGCCTTTCATGAGATTGGCATTTTTGAAAGATACATTCCTTTTAAAAGGGAACATTCCTCGTGTTCTAGAACATGTTCTAGAACAGTCCTGATGTTTTCCAATGATTAGATTCAGATTATGCATTGCACTCAATTTTTACACATCACAACTTTTTTTTTCCTTTTTGTCTTTTTTACTGACCGGTAACGGGATCGCAACCCTCGGTGTCGCGCCCGTACCGGGGACCGGCAACGGGATCGCAACCCTCAGTGTTGCGCCCGCACCGCGCTCAGCCAGTGAGCGGGAACCAGACTCCACATGGGATCCGAACCCTCGGCGGGAGTGCCGCCGCATTACACATTACAACTTTTACTGGAGACCAAAAAATGCACAGCAGAATCTATTCCTCATATTATCCCAACAAGGAATCTTCTGAGTAAGCATCAGAGGCATCTTCAGCTCTGTAAATATCTGCAATTATACTAAAATGGTCTTCTAAGCCATAATCATATTCATACAAATAGCCACAATCATTTGTTTCCACTGAGAGGGAACAATATTTATGACCTATATAGGAATGTTTTTGTGACTTCTCCTATGAAAAGAAAGGATAGATTGAGGTCTGGATGTCCCCTGATGTAGAATGCAGTACGGATCAGTGGTCAGAGACAGCGCATGTAAAACCTTCATTTGCGTTTCCCCAGTCATAAGCAGATATTTATTAGAGAGCTGTTGTGCAACAGGTTCTACTAGGAAGTGGGGATTCATTGGTGAAAAAGACAATCAGGCACAACTGACTTAAAGGACTCTGGCTCTTGACCCCCTGTTTAGTCCAGATCTGCTCCTCTCTGTCTTCCACAAATCAGCATATACAGATATTTTACCATTTAGCTGTACCTACCTAAGAAATATCAAAATTGAATTGCAACTGTTTCTAACCAGCTCAAGATGATAAACACACAAACTTTTAATTCCAGAAAGCCAGATCCTTTATTGGCCTAACTAAAGACTCTTTTCCTGACTAATAAAAAAGATCGTTTTAACCAAACATGAACAGACCCATGGATTCATTCCATCCTATGCAGAGTGCTAGTTTTCCATCTTTTATTAGCACGAATACATAAAACTGCCTTTCTGGAACTGAAATATCCCTGAAATTTCTCCTTCTGAACTCTTCAGTAAAATTTCCTTACTGGTTTATTACCCCACCTGACAATTAAATAAACTCAAATTTCTAATTAATTTGTTTTTACTAGGCTCTGGTGGTTTTTATTACCTGATATTTGGGTTGTATGCTCTATTATTATCATTATCATCATTAATAATAATAAATCCCATAATGAATATGATTTATAATGGGCCTAGCATTGTGCTTTGTGCTATATAGGGCTTTACATGAAGATCAAATTTAATTCTGCTATTATTTCACAGATGGGGAAACTGAGGTTTAGAGGGTTTAAGTAACTTGTCCACAGTCAGAAAGTAAGAAAAGACAAAATGGGTTCTGGACACCAAAGCATATGCTCCTAAACACCCTACACACACTACAGATAACTCTGAACTACTTAGCATAGAATGGTTTATATTCTACTACGTCTGTCCTTAAAGAAAATAAAGCTGCTAAGCAAATAATGGACTCTTGCTACTTTGACTAGATCTTCAAAGAAAAGAAACAAGTGAGAATTAAGCCCCGTTTGGGGAAAAGCTAACCAAATTTGGCCTATAGACTAAATCTGGGAGCAAAGGGTGTTCTGGGCTTTTGACCATAGTCTAGGACCACAAAGCTGCCATCCAGACATCCCTGATCAGAAGATTCCAAGACACCTGGCCCAACTGCTCCAACTCTCTCAGGACAGGAAAAAGGGATGAGGAGTGGCCAAACTATGCTGCTCCAGAGGAGCAACTAAACAAATCCTACCAGGGCCCTCACCCATCCAAAAGGAACTCACCCCTGGAGCCATGAGAGTTCTGCCCTGGGATCAGGAATAGAAGAATGGGGTGGGAGTGGGTAGCTAAAGCCAGTTCTTCCCCTTTCTTGTTTATTCTACATTTCTAATAAACACAACTCTTCACTTAAAAAAAAAAAAGTCCATAATGTTCAGAGTAAAAGCCAAGCTCTTTAGAGTGGTCCACTAGGTTCCACATTCTCTGGTGACCTAGTGCCTCTCTGATCCCATCTATCCTCCACCCTTCATTCACTCTATCTGAGCCACAATGACCTCCTCTCCTGTTGCCTTTCACTGGCTTGTTCCTATGTCTGGAACACCCTTCTCCCAGATACAGAAATATTCAAAGAATCCAGAACCAGGCCTAGCATTAAATAGTCAACAAGCATTTTTGAGTGAATGAGTAACAGGAGCAGAAACTAAGAAAAGGCTAGAGAGATAGGCAGTAAATAGACTTAACAATATATAGTATATATTGTAATATAGATATTCTCAACAATATATAATCCATATTTTGTAAAAGCTCATTTACTGTTCTGAAATGAAATTAAATTTAATTAAATGTACCCACACAGAATTTTTAAAAAAATAATGTAATACCCTACATAAGACATAAGAGAAATAAAGGAAAGTAATTTACAATAAACAATATGCATTTCAATATGTAATTTCTTAGCAGGAGATATAACAGAGCAATGAGATACTTACAGTTATAGAAAGAAAATCTGGACATGATAGTTACCAATGCAGATAGACATGAATGAGCTTTACTGATGACCAAAAGGTGTGTGCTATATTGGTTACTGACACATGCATGTTCTAGTGGTGACAGACATAGGTGTGAAGGTGACTCAAACACTACAACCAGCTCTGCCATTGGTGATAACCTTTTTCACACTGGTGAACACCTCTTGGTAAGTTCACAACTATTTTGCCTTGATTTACAATCTACCATGTGAAAATTACTTTATGATAATATCTAAAACGGATTTAGTCTAGATTCAGAGCATTACAAACACATCCATGGCCTGGGAAAAAACAAACAGGAGAGGAAGAAGAATTGATATAGATAGAGACACTTCTAAAAAAGGAAATGTGTGAATCTTGTGTGGATCCTGATTCAAATTTGCAAAAAAACTTTTTGAGATGATCAGTTAAATGTGAAGACTAGGTATAAGATGATACTGAAACACTACTGATAATTTTGTGAAATGTGGTAATGCTACTGTGGTTATGTAAGAAAATGTCCTTATTTATTAGAGTTGCACTGTGATATAATAGGAGCAATAGGAGTGATATGGCATAATATTTGAGATTTGCTATAAATAACTCATCAATAAAAGAAAAAATGATATCTAGAGAAAGGAAAGGATGAAAACAGTTTAAAGCCTGAAATGGATCCAACAGGATCCAAAGTTTCAGTGTAAAGATCAATTTTAGCTTCTGGTCGAGATGGAGGAATAGATGGTCCCCAGCACCATTCTCTCCCACAAATCAACCTATTTACAACGATTAAAAAGCCCTGACAGCTAAGCTGGGGCCACCAGAGCTCAGGGGAAGAGGAGGAGAGACCTATGGAGTTCATGAGGGCAGGAGAAGCCACGATGACAGAAAGAAAGGATCACGCCTACCATTTCAAATCCCAGCCCCTTCAAGGCTGGAGCTGGTAAGCACACGGAGCAAGAGCTGGCAAAAACCACAGCTGTGCCCTTCATATGAAGTTGCTTAGAGGCGGCCAGCGAGAAGAGGACCTTGGTGGCTCCCAGACCAGCAAAACCACTAAGAGGGTTCCTGCGGACCCACACAGGAATGAGGGGCCACAAACAACAGAAAAAAGAAGCCATTCAGGGGCTGGTCAGTAATCACAAGGAACCAGTGCATGACCCATCCTATGGCAAGTGTTTCGAGTGCAGGTGGTGAGGGAGACAGGGCCACTGGAGGAACATTGGGGCACAACATGGACAACTGATCTGCTCCCCAATCAGCACAGGATCACTCAGTGGAGACTGGTCAGGAATATAGAACTGCAGCGGGAGCAGTTTGCTGAAAAGTCTCAGACCCAGACCAGAGTTTCTACATAACCCAGGTGTACCAGATCTCACGAGACCCGGAAGAACCTACAAAGTCAACCATTAAAACCTGAGCTGCACAAAAAGGCTTCCCCAGGGAATCAGCAGGAAAGCAGTAATTTAGCTCAACTACAGCACTCAAGTGCTGGTCCCCACAGGAAGTTCCCCCATTTTAGAAGTAAGTGAAGGACAACAAATTAGTTCCAGTGCACAGTTTAAGTAGTGGAAACAGTAAACAATCCAACACAGAAATGAAAGGAAAAAAAAAAACCAAAAGTTTGATATTAACTAGTAAAGATCTCACTTCTCCAGGCCCCCAAGCCAGGGCAGAGTGAGGGCTGTGGGCCTCAGCCATGCCCGACACCCACAACCAGCCCAGTAACAACCACCCAGCTGCCTCAGGAAGCACCCTGGGCCCCCCGAACAGGGACAGTGGGGTGCTGAGGGCCTCAGCCATGCCCACATGGTACCCACTACCCAGCCCAATGACAACCACTGAGCCACTGCAGGAAGTGCCCCAGGCTCCCGAGCCGGGCAGTGGGGGGGCCATGGGCTTCAGCCACACCCTCCTGACATCGGCATTCAGCCCAGCAATGACCAAGCCACCACTGAAAGCCCCCTGGTCTCCCCTGCAGGAATGAAAGGATTGCTGTGGGCCTCAACCACGCCCCCCCTTCTCCCACCCTATTTCTTTCTCCCTTCCTCTTTCCCTCTCCCACCCAGCTACTCTGCAACAATATCTGAGAATATAAAAACAGATGGAGTCAGGGACCAATCCTTCCTCCTGCAACCAGGCATGCCACCACTGCCACGGGACCCATTCAGGATTCTGAGGCATGGAGCCAGGGACAGACCCCTCCTCCCACAACCAGGCAAAGAGAACACCAAAAACACCACTTCCATGTGACCATAGCCACCACAATAGCCAAGGCTGCCACAAAAGCCACCAGACACCACAACCACCATGCAGATGGCCCACCAGCCACTCAAGTGCATTGACACCAGGAGAGTCACCAGTGGTGACCAAGAAAAGAAGAGGATGTCTCTCTCGACAAAGCCCATTCCAGAGTGCTAGAAGAGGCATCTACTCTATGATAATAGTGGGGGACCTGAACACACCTCTCTCAGCACTGGACAGATCCATCTACACAACAAATCAACAGAGTAACTGTTACTTTTTCAGAAGGAGAGAAGAAATCTAGGGTTGTCAGAGGTGGGAGGGAAGAGGAAGAGGGGGATGGGCAGTGACTGGATAAAGGCATAAAGAATAAGTACAATTTGTAACAATATATATGCTAATAATATTGATTTGATCAACATACATCAATGATGAACCCCAAAAATATGTACAATCAATTATGATCCAATAAGAAAAATTAAATAAATAAATAAATAAAAAGCAGGTACAGAACAGCATGTACAATATGATCTGGTAGAAAAAAAAGATTAATTTAAATCAGATTACTTTAAGTAAATTTTAATATATTCTTCAGAATCAATGAAATGTATGAGCAGAAAGATAGAGAATTAACAAGACCATATGAAACAAGATAAAAACAAGACCAAATTAGTTTGGCCAGGTGAAAACAAATGTAAATGGACAGATCTACACTGAAATAGTTGAAGAAACTATGTTAGAAACCAAATGGAGTAAAATAAGGCCAGTTCAAATAAGATAAAAGCAGTTCAAAATAGGTCCAAGCAGAGACAAAGAGAAAAAAATCAGAATTATTCAATTCAGCTATGCCAAATGAGGACAAACCTTGAAAAATCTCCTGACAGAAATTTGTAACTTGGAAAGTACTCTTATCAAGAACTCAGGAATATCCAGAATAATTTTGTATTTGCCAACCTAGATAAATGAGTTTTAGTTTTTAAATAAACAAAAATATGATTTATGATACTCAATAGTCTACAAAACACAAAACTGACAGATTTCATTAGACTTTAAACTTTTTTAACTTCAAGGTGACAGAAGACCTCTCTTACTACTCTCCTCCCTGCTGTCTCTGGTCCAATCACATTGGCCTCCCTGCTTTTCCTCAAAAGAGCAAGGTGTGCTCCTGTCTCAGGGCCTTAGCACTGGTTATTCCCATCTGTTTCCCACCATATCCACACATCTAACTCCTTATCACCTTCAAGCCCTTGCTCAAACGTACTTCCTCACAGAGGCCTACCCTGACTAACCAATTTAAAAATTTAGTCACTTACCTCTATACCCTGGTACTCCAGATCCCCTTTATTCTTATCTACTTATAACATATTTTTAGTTATGTAGCACTTACTACCCTTTAACTTATATAATTTATCTATATATGCTGCTTATTATATATTGTCAGTCTACCTATACTAGAATGCTAGCTCTATGAGAAAAGAAATGCTTTATTATTTAATTCACTGATGTGTTCTAAGAGCTTAGAACATTGGCTGGCATATTGGGTACAAAATATATGAATGGAAAAATCAAGGAAGAGAACAAGTCCTCACCCAACGAGACTAGATTCCTGAAATTCTCCAGCATCACTTCTTTGTATAGGTTCCTCTGCTCAGGGCTCAGTCTCTTCCACTCTGCCTCAGTGAAAACCACAGCCACATCCTCGAATGTCACTGGTCCCTAAATTAACCAATAAATTCATATTCATCAAGTCACCATTAGTATTCACAGGGAGAATGGAACTGGTGGTCCTGGAGAATCTAGCTACACAAGGAGTGGATCTGATGGTTTTCAGGATCCAGGGCATTACTCCATACTTGGCTTCGTATTAAAATATGCAGAAGGCATAAATAATAACAAGACACACTCTTCACCCTGGAATACTTACAATTTCTCGGGAAAATGATTTCTTAATCAATGTGAAAACATATGAATGCTGGGCTCAGAAAAATAAATTGAAAACTCATAATGGATGAAATTCGAAGGGAGAGTGGAAGACAGCCTGGAGAAATAAGGAAAAGCAGGATAGAGGCAGGTCTTATATTGGGCTTTAAGGGACGATGAAGATTAGAGAAGAAATGACAGGCAACTTGGACTACAGAGAAAAATGTGAGTGTTCATGGTAGGTTCACAAGTGGAGAATGAGCATTTATGAATGCTGATTAAAACAGATTTCTCTGCTTGAGAAATGAGATTTATAAAATCCCTATCACTGTATACGTGTTTTAACAGTACCTTTTCTAAAGCCCTCAACCCCTCACTCAAAGTGTAGAGCAATAATTTGAATACATAAAATAGCTGGCAGGGAGGATGGCAAGTAGCATTCCTGAGAATGGCATTGCCAGATAAATGAAGTTCAATCCTTAAACTATAGGGTATTTTTTAATGAACATATTTACATTTTATGAAAATATATTCCAAGAGCAATAATTTGAATACATAAAATAGCTGGCAGGGAGGATGGCAAGTAGCATTCCTGAGAGTGGCATTGCCAGATAAATGAAGTTCAATCCTTAAACTATAGGGTATTTTTTAATGAACATATTTACATTTTATGAAAATATATTCCGAGATCAACATTAAAGGACTGATGTTACAGTTCTTATTTTAGAGAAAAGAAACCAGGACCCAGAAAACTTCTCCAATCAAATAACAAGATAACAGGACTGAAAAACAGTCCTGCACAGTTTGAGGACCTTATTCTTTTCATGTTAAGTACTTTATCTTCTGTCCTTCCACCCTGCACCAGTACTCTCTCCTCACCTCTTTTTGTTTCTTTCTTCCAAGTCTCAGAAACCTTCCTTCAATTTTCTACAAATAGAACTACACCATATGCTTTCTCATCTTCAAGTCTCTTCTCATCAGAATGGGTATTCAATGATATTTTCTCTCTTTAATTACATTTGAAAGGTGTCATTGCCCTCAGATACCATGGTAGTCACAAATGCCTTACTTCTAGTGAACTCAAGCATTATTTGCTCAGTTATCATCTGCTTCAACCTGTGGGTTTTCCATGACATTTCTGAACTTGCCCTAGATTTTTAACTACTAAGCTCCTTCACTCTGTGGAATTTGGGGAACACTTGCATTTTATTCCCAGCTGTCTCTGATCCTCTTGAATGTCTCTTTTCTGATTCTGCTTCCTCCTCCTATTCTCAGGTCTACTTCAGTCTTCTTCTAGTCCACCTTCTAAGTGGTTCTTGACATTCTAGGAGAGCTGGTGATTGCTATGAGTTGAATGTCTGTCCCCTCCAAAGCTCATGTGAGAGCTTGATTCCATTTATGGAGTAATGGTTAATGGTTTAATGGGTTACCATGGGTGTGGACTGGTGGCTTTATAAGGAGAACATTTGAACATGCTCTTCCCGATCCTTGTCATGTGATTCCCTGCATCACCATGGGACTCTGTAGAGAGTTCCCACCCAGAAGAAGGCCCTTACAAGATGTGCCCCCTGAACCTTGGATTTTCTGGCATCCAAAACTGTAAGAAATAAATTTAACTCTTTAAAAATTACCCAGTTTCAGGTATTCTGTAATGAGCAACAGAAAATGGACTGATAGTGATGTGTACTCCAGGCTCTTGAACTAAACTAATTAAGCTTTTATCAGATCAAAGTAGAGGCTGGGAGAAGCACAACACAAAATTACCAAGCCACAGATTCTTAGCATCCTCACCTCAAAGCTGGACTCTAAAACAGATTTAAAACCCAGCATACAACACAGCATAAAATACAGAAGTGGCAGAAAGAGTAAAGAATAACAATAATGCTGAGTTAGGAGTAGGAAACTAAGTACAGATACCAAAATCCTTGGGTATGTAAGACATTTTAGGAGGAATGGTGAATCTATAGCCTGACAGCTCAAGCTGTGTGGTACAGTGTTAAGAGGGAGGACAAAATGTCTAGACAGCAAGCTGCGACCCAGAATTAGGCAGCTAAGGCCTAAGGGGGTAGTGGTATGGGCTGCTGTCCTTTTCAGGCTTTCCATGACCTTCTTCTGGCACATCCTGGTTCTCATATTCTCAGTAATCTTTCTCCTATTTTTTTACATCTCGGGTCTCATACTTTCTCTTGCTCAAGCCTTGTGTCTCTCATGTTCTAGCATCCTCTCCATTTCTCTCTCGACTTCTATTCCCCCTCTGCTTCTTCCACTGAAGCATAAGGCTCAACAACATGAGCATACTTTCTCTTGCTCAAGCCTTGTGTCTCTCATGTTCTAGCATCCTCTCCATTTCTCTCTTGACTTCTATTCCCCCTCTGCTTCTTCCACTGAAGCATAAGGCTCAACAACATGAAAGAGCGCCGCCGCGCTCCCAAGCGGCGCACTCTCCAGTGCGCCACCGGGCCGGCCCAATATTTAAGTGATTTTAAAGATAAGGAAACAATTTTAGGTTCTCAAAAATGAATCAAATATTCTATCCTCGGGGCCAGCCCGGTGGTGCACTGCTACAGTGCGCCGCTTGGGAGCGCGGCGGCGCTCCTGCCGAGGGTTCGGATCCCACATACAGACCGGTTCCCGCTCACTGGCTGAGCGGGGTGCGGGCGCAACACCAAGGGTTGCGATCCTGTTGCCGGACACAAAAAAAAGACAAAAAGGAAAAAAAAATTCTATCCAATGTAATAAGGCAAGAAAAGCAAATAAAAAGCATAGTGATTGGTAAGGAAGAAATAAATTATCCCTATTCGCAGATGACGTGTTTGTCTATGGAGGAAATCCAAAGGAATCTCCAAAAAAGATCACGGAACTAATAAGTGAGTCCAGGAGGATTGAAAGATACCAGATGAACACACAAAAATCAATCATATTCCTATATACCTGAAATGACCATGTAGAAACTGAAATTAAAAACATAATACCACTTGCAATTACTCCAAAAAAATGAGGTATCTAACATAAATCTATCAAAACTTGTATAGGATCCGTATGCAGAAAACTACAAAACACTGATGAAAGAAATTAAAGAAGATCTAAATGAACAGAGAAACATACCATGTTCATGGATGAGAAGACAACATAGTAAAGATATTAATTCCCCCCAAAATAATCTATAGGTTTAACACAATTCCTATCAATATTGCAACAAGATTTTTTGTAGAAATAGACAAGCTTATTCTACAATATATACAATAAGGCAAACAAACTAGAAGAATAAAGTGAGAGGGATTACTCTACCTGATACTAAGCTTACTACTTACTATTTGATCACTACAATAATCAAGCCACATAGCAGTAGTAGAAGAATAGACAGAGACCAATGGAAAAGAACTGAGAACCCAGAAAGAGACTAATGCAAATACTCCAAACTGATTTTTGACAAAACAAAAGCAATCCAATGGAGAATAGTCTTTTCAATAAATGGAGCTGGAACAATTGGACAATCACAGGCAAAAAAATTAACCTCAATCTAAAACCTTATAATTTATACAAAAAATTAACTCAAAATGGATCATAATTTAAATATAAAGCTTTTAGAAGAAAATAAAGGAGAGCATCTTCAGGACCTAGTGCTAGGAAAAGAGTTAGACACGACACCAAAACTACGAACCATAAATGCAAAAATCAGTAAACTGAACTTCACCAAAATTAAAACTTTTGTACTACAAAAGACCCCCATCATCTCTTCCAGAACATAGAAGCAAAGGGAACACTCCCTAACCCATCCTCCAAGTACAGCATTAGCCTAATACTAAGACCAGATAAAGACATCAGAAGGGAAACCACAGATCAATATATCTTACGAACATAGATGCAAAAACCTCAACAAAATATGAGCAAATTTAATCTATCAATGTAAAAAGAACCACTGCAACTGAATGGGATTTATTACAGGTTTGCAAAGCTGGTTTGACATCTGAAAATCAATCATCATTTCAACAGGCTAAAGAAGCAAAATCATATGATCATATCAACTGATGCAGAAAAGGTATTTGACAAAATCCAAGACCCATTCATGATTTTAAGAAAAAAACAAATGAACAAAAACCTCTTGGAAAACAAGAAATAGAGCAGAACCTCCTCACTTAATAAAGAATATCACAAAAAAATGTACAATTAACATCATAATAGTGAGAGACTGGATGCTTTTCCCATATGATTGGAAATAAGGCAAGGATGTACTCTCTTGCCACTTCCACTCAACAATGTACTGGAAGTCTAGGTAGTACAATAAGATAAGAAAAAGAAAATGTATGCAACTTCATGATAGAACTTAAAGGATAAAATTTTTAAAAAGGAAAATGTATACAGATTGGGAAAGAAGAAATAAAACTGTTTTTGTTAATGGGTCACATGACTGTCTACACAGGAAATCCTGAAGAAGCAACAAAAAAGAAAAAAAAAAAAACTTCTGTGATTTTTTTTTTGTCATAAAACAAGTCTTAATATATTTTAAAAGACTAAGATAACAGAAAATATGTTCTCTGACCACAATAAGAAGGAAATTTAGAAATTCACAAACTGTAGAAATTAAACAACACTCTCCTAAATAAACAATGGGTAAAAAGAAAAATCACAGGGAAATTAGAGAGTACTTTGAGACAAAAATCAAAGCACAACATATCAAAATTTATAGGATGCAGGGTTCATGCGGTGCTTAGAGGAAAATTTATACTCGTAAACAGCCATATTAAAAATAAGAAAAATCTCAAATCAATAATATAAACTTCTATCTTAAAAAAATA